CCTGGAATTTGTAGGGACTGAACTCTGTGACGCGTTGGACACTGTAAAGAGCATTGAGAATGAACTAAACCGAACTCGTGGTGAAATAAGTGACAGGATTAAAACCAAAATAGAAAGTGTTCTTCATCGGAATGCTGGTTATTCAACATTATACAAGATTGCAGATATACTTTCCGGTAAACTAACAACATTCAAAGATGATACAGAACTGTCATCAAACGACTTGACATTCTTCAAATATGCTCCTGTCACATCATGTGATGTGGAACGAAGTTTTTCCAAATACAAAACTATCCTTAGTGATAATCGGCGATCTTTCAAATTTGAAAATTTGAAAATGCATGTAGTTATAAATTGCAATTGTAACAGTGAAAATTGAGACGTGAATAGCTTGTGTTCTTTTAAATGGTGTTTTTAGATAACAGAGTTAAGTTAGTGTTCATACCATGTTCACCAGTGTTTGTCTAAAATATGAACGCAAATATCAGTATTAAAAAGAAAACAATGAATGGTTTAATCCAGTACGAAATGTCGAAATTCCATCAGTTTTCTTTCCTTCAGAGACATAATAGGGCTAATTTGGTAAGTAGGACCTACTATCATATATTCATCATCTTTATTCTTAAACTCTAGTAAAAGTTGTAATTAAAATTGTGAAATTTTATGTCCCATTTAATATTTAAGGTCATATTTTACACTTTTTAGGTCATATTTGACATAATTTTGGGTCATAAGTGCATGCATATATTTATAGTTTTTAGGTCATAAAAATCCGGGCCCTAGTGATCAATTTTTAAATATACTAATCATCTGTTTCCCGGTCTGGAAAGTAATCAATTTCCAAAACATTTCCCCACCAAAATTCTCTATAAATTCATATCGCCATTAAAAAATATCGGGGTGGGTATTGCATATACCTCCGTCTTCAGGCCTCTAAAAAAGGTCTCGACTTGCAGACGCTCCTGGTCGGTAACTTGGAGCCGTTCTTCGGCTGTAGAACTACTGCTGCTACTACTGACATCTGTCGCCGTCTCCGAGCCATCGAGCGAACTTACGCGCCGCTGGTTCTGCTGCTGCAGCAGTAGGCCGTGGTAAGAGTCGTATTTGGTCGTCAGATGTCGCACACCTCGCTCCTCAGCAGATTCGTCGGCAAGACGCTTCTCAAGTTGGGGACAGGACCCATACTGTTGCCCCCCTGGTTTCATGACGCGTTTACTCGTATACTGTAACAACCACAATCGTCTTAACTCAGTCGACTCAGTCAATGCTATGAACTGCCGCTCCAGCAAAACACAAATTTTCAAATACGTGGTTTGCTACAATGCACTTCTGTCACTGATAAGAACTCTTACGGAATGTGCCGCCGTGTAGTATGGTAAATAGAAACCAACTGAACAAAGGATCTTCAGGGTATAAGAAGAGGGAGCGCAATGTCTAGCTGTAAAGCTAGTCATACTAGACACATCACATTTAAGAAATTATTTTTCCTTTTACACCGTGAAATATCATAGTGATAATCTATTTCTGGCCCATATTTTATAGTCTGTCTGCTATTAATATGGAAAAGTAAGCGCGCCATCGCCATATGATGATTAGAAAGTTACAGATTCGATTTTCAATATGCTTTCCGTATTTATATGCTGGTGGGAAATTCCAATACTTACAGAGGACCTTCCTTTCGTAGGGTTGCCTGCACAAGGTATGACGTAACCTGGTTCGTAGGGTAGGTGGACTTTCATTTCACGACATGCACCATTTTCTTCAAGATGAGTTGTTTAAAAGGATATGACAATTTCACGTTGAGATAAGTAAAAGCAGTCGCCGTGCTTCATTAAGCACATCATGAAGACGCATAGGGGAACTCGTGTACTGCTCCACGCATTCTTAACCTCAGCACTATATGAAGGTCAACTTCACGCCCAAGTGGCTATCCACTGGATAAAAGGCTGGGTAGGTCATGAGGCAATCTGAACGAAACGAGAATGAGAAAACTCTGTCCCTGCCCGGAATCAAACTCCTGTTCGCCCAGTCTGTAGAACTGTCCCTAGGCCGACCGAGTTATTTCAGGTCTTTTTTTTTTATTGCTAGTGAGGTGGGACTAAGTCCCTTGTACTGCGGCCACTTCTGGCCTATTGTACCAGCCCCAGGTGATAGGTGAGGGTGACTGTGGAGCAATTGGTGGAATGAAGATTGGCAGGGGGGAACCGAAGTACTCGGAAAAAAAACCCCGCCCCAGCGCCACTTTGTCCACCACAAATCCCACTTGACCAGACCCGGGATTGAAGCCGGGCCGCCGCGGTGGGAAGCCAGCGACTAACCGCCTGAGCTATGGCGCGGCCAATATTTCAGGTCTTACAATTGACCAGTATGAACCACAGTTACATTTGGCCGACAACTTGGTATACGAGTATACCGAGATAGGATGATAACGCAGACCTGACTAGATTGCGAGTATGTGTACTGGATTAAGGTTGCTCCAAATGATGCCCGATTTCAGATTTTCTATTAGCAGCAATGAATCTTTAAGTTTAATTGCCAGAGTCAGTTAACTCCAAACCCCAGTGCATTCCGTATTTTGAGATTAAAACCTGCCAACATTATCTGTAGCTTAGGTATACAATGTCGTTAAATAACCAATATATCAAACGGTACCGTTATTTACAAAACTGCTCTATATGAAAACTTTGTTAGTGGGTTTGATCTTCCCGTAAGAGCAAACAAATCCAACTCCGAAACAAGTTGGTCGTCTAAACTAAGAAGTGTTTCGCAAACATGCAAGGAACCCCCCTATACGTCTAATGAGTCTCGGTTTTAATGCACTTTCAATAGTTAAGACTCCAGCGTCGTTTTGAACTATTTTATTATCATGGAACATAATTAATAACAGAACAGAGCGGAGGTTTCTCCTGTCAGAACGTTCATCCTCTTTCGAAGTCAGAGCACAGAACTGCATTATCTAATTTCCATATTTCATATGGTAGGTAATACGAATGTGTGTCCGTAACTTTCGAACCTGCAGACGAACTTTCATTAACGTCCCATGCCACTGAAAGGCATCTGCGTACTAGTGGTAACACCAGCATTGGTATAGAAATTATACATACCGTGTCCCAGACTCCACTACTGTCGCACAAAAATTTAACTTGTAGCCCGTACTTCGATAAGGGTGGGCTTAGCCCCTTAAAACGCAAATATTTTAGGAGGCTCCTGCCCTCCCTTTTCAGAAAATCAGTTTAGTAATTCACAGAAAGAAAATGCTCGTAACAAACTATATGGCATAATATTTCCGTGCCAAATTGCCAACAGCAATTATTATGAATGAAATAAAATAAATCTGTAGAATATTACAAAAAAAAACAGCAAACTCCGTGGCTTTACTCCGCAAGCGAACAATACCGACCGAGCGACCGCCGCTTGTCGGCGAAGTTAGTGCCGATTTTAGCGGATAGAGAGTGTCGCGTGGTCAGCGCAACGGATCCCCACGGCCGTTGATCTCGGTTTTCTAGACCGAAACCGCTATTTCCTTCAAATAGCTCCTCAATTATCCTCATGAGGCTGAGTGAACCCCGTTCCAGACCCGCTACTTCTCAGAAAATCTGGAAGCCCCGGGAATCGAATCCGGGACCTCTGGATCTGTAGCCAGGAACTCTGACCACTAGACCACAGAGGCGGGCTCAACCCCTTAAAACAAATATTTTACGAGGCTCCTTCACAGAAACAAAATGCTCTTAACAAACGATGTGGAATAAAGTTTCCGTGCCAAAATGCCAATATCAGTTATTAGGAATGAAATCAAATGAATCTGAAGATTACGTACAGCACAAACAGAAGTGACTGAGCGGACATAATGGAGTGTGTCGGCATATAGTGAAATGGTAGATCTGCCACCTCAATTACGATATTTACGGCCCAAGGAGGGTTGCTACTTTCACTTAAGTTGGAACCCCTGCCGCCACTGCAAAGACTAACAATGAAACAGTACGAGTACTATGGTCCGGCTGCCATTCGCGCATTTCAATCAATTCTGGGTAACTTTAAAGGAAATCATTATAGGAACTGGCTTCTTACAGAGTGATTCAGAAAGATGGACACAATTTCAATTGGCTATATTTCCTGAATTATATGTTGCATCTGAATTCTGTAAAGTACATTTGAAAGAGGATGTTGTAAAGTTTCTAATACTACCGCTAGAGCACTCCAGCACCGCGTTAGTTGTAAGTGAGATGACTACTATGCAACACAAAATTTTTTGCATTCATGAGTTCAGTAAAAGTGAGTCTGTGACTGCGGTGCAGCGTGCATTTCGTCCTAAGTTTAACATCCAACCTCCAACGAGGAAGAGCATTTATCGTTGGAATAAACAATTTGATGAAACTGGCTCTCTGTGTATGGGTAAAAGCCCGGGCCGATCGCGTGTATCGGAGGAGAACGTGGGGCGCATTCGAGTGATCTTTGAGCGTAGCCCAATGAAGCCAACCCGTAGTGCTAGTAGAGAACTTGACTATCGCAAACAACTGTCTGGCGTGTATTCAGGCGTCGGTTAGTGTACAAACCATACCCCCTACAACTGGTACAGGCTCTTCGCGCAAACGATAAGGTAAAGCGTGTAGAATTTTGTGACCGTATGCTCAGAAACATGGAAGATGAATTGTTTCTGCCTCGTGTAATTTTTAGCGATGAAGCTACGTTTCACCTAAGTGGGAAAGTCAACAGGTACAAAGTTCGCATATGGAGGCTACAAAATCCCCGTGTAACACTCGAACATGTGAGGGACAGCCCGAAAGTTAATGTGATCTGTGCAGTATCGTTAACAAAGGTTTATGGACCTTTCTTTTTTTGATGAAAACACAGTTACTGGAGTAACGTATCTTAGAATGCTGCAAAACTGGCTTGTTCATCAAATGAATGAAGATTCAGGAGATTAGATTTTCCAGCAGGACGGAGATCCACCCCATTGGCACCTGAATGTTCGTTTCCTGAATGAATTACCTCAACGATGGACAGGTCGCATGCGGAATGAAGACCTGGCACTTCAGTTCTGGCCACCAAGGTCTCCCGATCTCACACCCTCCGACTTTTTCCTGTGGCGATCCGTGAAAAATGCAGTTTACGTACCACTTCTTCCCACAAATTTGAATGGCCTAAGAAACCGTATCACAGCTGCGGTGAACTCAGTGACGCAAGATATTTGTCATCGAGTGTGGGATGAATTCAGCTACCGTCTAGATGTTATCCGTGCAGCCGGAGGGGGCACATTGAACATCTATAAACTTCCATGTATGTATAATCAAATGTAATTTACACAATTCAAATGGAACATATAATTCAGGAAATATAGCCAATTGAAATTGTGTCCATCTTTCTGAATCACCCTGTATATACAGTATAAGAGGCATCAAAGGGTTTATTTTCCTTAGTGGGGTGGGACTAAGTCCACTTGGTACTGCGGCCGCTTCTTGTACCAGCCCCAGTTGATAGCTGAAGGTGATTGTGGGGCAATTGGTGAAATGAAGATTGGTAGGGGAACCCGAAATACTCTGAGAAAACCTACCCCTGCGCCACTTTGTCCACCACAAATCCCACATGACCAGACCCGGGCTCGAACCCCCCCCCCACACACACACACACCGCATTAAAGGGGTTAGTTTGATAATTAATGCAAACTAGAAGGTGCAGACTTTTTGTTCTAGTTTCTTTATCGAATAATTAAGAGGTATATAATACAGTTCCACTTCCCATGCGAGCATATATTACTGTGTTCATCACAAGCGCATGGGTGGTGACTGTAAAGCGACACGGTCATAGGCTTATGGTAAAATCCAGCAGCTGCTGTGATGAAAACGAAGCGCTCACAACTTGCCACGCGTACCCAGCACATCACTTCATCTAGCGAGAGAGTCGTTTGGCATAAATCGTAACATACTTATTCCTTTCGTGGGTGCAGAAAATTAAGTACTATTTTTTTTATTGCTAGTGCGGAGGAACTAAGTCCCTTGTACTGCGCCACTTTGTCCACCACAAATCCCACTTGACCAGACCCGGAATCGAACCAGGACCGCCGCGGTGGGAAGCCAGCGACTAACCGCTTGAGCTATGGCGCGGCCAAATTACGTACTAAAGATCTTCATAATTAGCACAGCTGACGTCAATACCGTATTTACGCATGTATAGGCCGCAGCACAATTTTCAGACAGAAATTACAGAAAAAATAATTTTCTTGGAA